TATGACTTTATTGCCTGGGGTGAAGTCCAGAGAAAACCAGATAGAAGCTTCTGAGAGTCTTGTCTGGACGGAGTCACATGAGATGTGCTTAATTCTTCTAGCAACGGATTGTGACAACAGTCTCCCAGGAAAGCTCTTCAGAGACTCAGTATCCAAGGCTTTTACTGGGAGCTAGTCACGTGGGCACCCTCTGCATAGCATGTATCAAAATTCCAGACTCCCAGGAGGAAGGCAGGCGTTTAACATAAACCACAGTGTTTGTACAAAAACAGCTTAAGTCCAGTGAGACACCTTGATCATTTAGGGAATGTTTTATATCAGTGGAGGGAACTGCTAACAGCCAAGTTCCCAGATACCAGCAACATCAAAAGCAGATCTGCTGTGCCTTTTCGGCACAGTTTGTGATAATTTTTCCTCAGACTTCTGAAGCTATTACTCATTTGTCTTCTGGTTTCTAGTGTTGTGGTTTAAAAAGCCCAATCCACTTTGATTTCTGATCTTTTTATTTTCCCAGTTTCAAAAAATTTTGGGTCTATTACTTAGGCCGATGTTCTGAGATTTCACAGGAATACGCCTCAATGGGGTTCTTCGTTAGAAATTTTTGTTGGATAATCAGTGAGCCAGTGATTGGCCTTACAATATTAAGATATCTAGTTTTCAGTTCTGGGAAGTTTTTGTTTTGTTTTGGTAATGTTTCTTTGCAATTTTTTCTTTTCAATTTTCTCCATTTTAACTTTTAGAATTGCTATTATTTGAATGTTATCTCTTACGATGAATTGCCTAATTTTGTTATATTTTCTCTCCTATTTTCCATCTCTTTAGTCTTTTTATTTTTTTTATATGGGAGATTTCCTTAGTGTTCTAACACTTCTATTAAGTTTTTTCTCCTCTGCTCTTATTAAAAACACCAAGATTTATTTCTTGTGCTTTGCTGGCAGACTCTTATTCTATGGAATCATTATCTTCTTGTAACACCTTTAAGGATATTGATGTAATATTTAAAATGTTATGCAAGCAGTTTATGTGTATCGTAGAAAATTACATATAGATAAGCATAAATGAGAAAATAAGATTATATTTCCACTGTCCAGAGGTTTTCATTTTTAAGACCTTGGTATAATGGTAAGGGTTTTTTTGTTGTTGTTGTTTTGTTTTTTTAAGGTTTTCTTCCTGACATAATTCTGTTTCCTCTTAATTCCTTTTATTTTGTTCTCCCTCTTAGTTCCTTTTTTCATGTTTGTTTGCAGAGGAGATACTCTGGGCTAAATGTAAAGGAACTGGTCAGGTAGCTCTGGTCTTCTAGTATTGTCATTTCAGTGATAGCGAGTAGGAGCCCATGCAGAAAGTAACTGCCTAAGAGATGAGATGTGAGCTGCTTTTGTATTTCTCTAGGAGGAGAAAAGCACACTGGTGGTGGCAGGGAGTCTGGTAGTGATGCCTGGAAACAGTACATGAGAAGATCTACGTGGTAAGAAAAGGCTTTGTAAAGACAGGTTTGGACTTAAAGCCATCGCAACGTGCTCATATACTCTTCTACTTTCTGCTCTGTCTTCATGCAGTTTCATTTAATTTTATTTTTCTAATGTTTCCAACTCTCCCCTCCCAGAGTGTCCATTTTGTATTATTATTTCCCTACCCTTTTTTTCCAGTTCCAGCTAGTGCCCAATGCCCGACTGTGAAACCATCTCATTGGTGGTTTCTCTCTAGAGACATTATGGAAACAGGACACTTGGGGAACGGGTGTCAACCAGCAGGAGAAAGTGAGAAAAGCTGTCCTTTTAGGTTTGTCCTTGGGAGCAGTTATCACCCTTGCAGACTTTAGAAGCAGGTAGAGATGGAGGTGGGCAGGGGGACCGGGGGCTTGAATAGGAAGCTGGGGGATACTAGCTCTTAGAAGAGTGAGCATGACCCTTGAAAGCAGGATTAGCTGATGTGGGAGTCGGTTTCTGGGAGGTACTGACCAAGAGTTCTTTCTATTACTTGCATTCTGTTTTCCCTCCCCCTAGGTAGAAAAAGCTTTACTCAAGTGCAAAAGAACAGAGTTTGGGGTCAGGCCCATGTGGCGTTATGTTGTAGAAAGAGCACGGGGTGAGGAGCCAGGGACGCCCGTCCTATTCCCATTTACTCCTTCTCACTAGCTCTGTAACCTTGGGTGAGTTTCTCATCCTAGGCTCCTTACAGCCTCCATGACTCTATATCTGTCGGGAATTTCTGAGATGCTTTTGGCTATGGCCTATTAAGTCTCAAACACATGCACTCTTTGCCTGATTCCCATTCTCTGAAGTCAGTTATCTTCCTTTTCCTTTTTTTATGTGCCTGAGAATGAGAGTGGAAAACATTTAGCTATGGCCTTTTGAGAACTCATTTAATGGAACACTTTTCCTCTTAGGAGAAAAATGAGATGACTACCAGATAACTGACTAATAGAGAAGCTTTTATTTTCTAAATTATTATAGTTTCTATTTTATTTTTATCAAAGTGGGAATGTCTATATTTCTCCTGTCAATTCAATCCAAGTTACTGAGAGATATAAAGATTATTACAGTCTTCATATCTTTGTGCCCTGAAAATTATGAATAACATGTATGCAATGTATCCAGACTTGTGTTTCTCTTTACCTTTTCTTTCTTTTATAAAACTGGATCCATACTAACATTGTTTCATATCCTAATTTTTTTCTTCACCAACTTGTAACTTGAACATTTCACCTTGTTTATATATACAGATCTACTACATTTTCTTAATGGTATAAAAATATTCTACATTATGTATGTACTGATCTTTATTTTAATTTTTTTTTTCTCCCTAGCACCATCAACTACAGTAAGGACCTTCCTCTGGCCCAGGGAATCAAGTTTCAGTAAAGGTGCTTTACATTGACATTATTTCAAGTCGTTTAGGTGTTTTTACATTCTTTCTTCTGAAGAAGACAAAGAAAATTAAGATTGGCCCTGAATAAATACATCATTTTGAATATGACAGTAGCTAATCCCTTATGCCTCCAAGGTCCTGACTAAATCAAGAGACTCCTTTTTTAAAAATAAAATTGTCACGACATAGTCATGTTTAGTAAAAGATAGAATACATGGATTTTTACGTTACTAATAGTTACTGATGTTTTAGAAGTTTATAATTATTTTATGATTTAGAAGAAATAATACATACCATGGTAGGAATTTGGAAATACACAGAACATAATAGAGAAGAGAGTAGAAATCTTCTCAGTAGATGCAGAAACGTCTCCTGAGCCAGTAAAGAATTCGCTGGCGAGTGTTGATTCACATTACCCTCCTCTAGCCTGTGTTGGAAAGCGTGTGATTGAAAGGGACTGTTTCCCTTATGTATAGGGGACCACAGCACAATATCCCTATGGAATGACTTGCTCTGTTTAAAATGACGAAGTGCATTCATCACCATTACAACTTCTCTTACTCATGATGGCGTGTGTCACCACAGAAGAAATTTGTGGGGAGGACATAGATATCACTCATGCCCTAGAAGCTGCACCTGCCGAGGTCTCTGCCTGTGCAGAATTCTACAGAAAGTGTATCTGGATTTCCTATGCAGCGGTAGGCCAGTTTCTTTAGCTGTTAGGCTTCCGTGGTTGCCCTTAAATTTATGTAACCACAGTGTGCGTGGCAGCATGTGGCAGAGTGAATTGGGCTAAGTCCACTTTCTCTTTGCTGAGCGTCTGCTTCCTTCTCTTGAGAAGCTGCCTGGAAGCTCTTGGAGTGGTTCAGCCCAGGGCCCCTGTGGAGCTCACACTGGCTCTTGCACTTCTGTCTTCCTGGAAGTCTGCACTCCTCCAGCAGGTTGCAGCCGCCACTCCACTACTTCTGCCAGATTGGTCTGGGGCAGAAGCCTTTGAAGACAATGTTTATGGATGACCTGATGTATCAGGGTGTATGGAGACATTTGCACAACTGGCAAGGAGTTTGGGGTTGTTATGTCAGAGAAGCAAGCAAATGAAAAAACTAAGCAGTTATAAATTTATCAGGAATGGAAAGGCATTTGAATACATTCCGTGGCCCAGCTGTGACTAGTGCTCACTGAGGTGTGCTGTTGTCAACCTTGAATATTAAGCCAGGTGCTGATGATACACCTTTTGAGAGTGTGTTGGCAGGAAAAAGTCAAGGGTTGAGAGTAGGTTCGAAAGGTGGACAATTCTTCATGTTTTGTGATGGAAAATCAATAATACCTAAAATTACAAAAGTTAAAATAGCAACATAGGCTTATAAAGATAGGGAGGTAAATTCTGAAAGAATCATTGCTTCGGGGGAGGACAAATGGGGCGTGGGGCATGGAGACAGGATGGATTGCTATTTTTCATAACTAGTTTTATAGAGCTGTTTGAAATTATAAATTACATTTACAGTTTCTCTCCGATTAGGTATTTGAGGAGGCCCTCCATCCTCCTATGTATCTGCTAAAGCCATGACATTGTGGTCAATTTGGAATAATAATATCCAGTATACTGGTGAGAAGGGGTGACTGCAACTCTCATCTTAGGTATAGAAATCGAGTTAAACTGATTCTGAAAGCTTTCTTTAAAACGACTTCATAATTTTTCTACATATTTCTAGCAACATTTTTGTCATAACGATTATTAAAAAATTTTGTCTTTAAACTGGCCCTCTTTGTTCTTAATTATTGACCAAAGAAATAAAAGTTGCTTATTAGTATTTTTAATCACAAAAATTAAAATGTGTATTTTTATGTGTTATTACTGACCACATACTGTGAGATGCTAGGAGTTCTGTGCTGTTGATTACTAGTTATTCTGAGCCCCTTGTGACTGTCCTGCCCCTCCCTGCCTGCATCTGGTGGTGTAACCGTGCTGTCAGTTCTCAGCCCACACTGTGGACCTGAGGAACTTGCGGTTAGCAGGCCGACTTCTGCCGCTACGGTGAACCCTACGTTTAAGATCTTGCTGTACATCTCCAGTTCCTGGAGAGAGCATCCAATCGGCCAATCCTAGGATCCTGGCTCTTGTGTTTCCTCCATGGGAAAGGAGTAGAAGATATGGTCCTTCTGGCTTCCTTTTTGTGAGGTAGGCACTCCTGATGAAGACGTTACACAGTGGATCTGAGACAGTTTTCTCAAAGGAATTTGGGGTGCTATTACATCTTTCGCTCCTCTTCTCTTATGCGTCCTCTCTCTCTCTTGCTCTTGGTAGCATTCTCTGTCCCTGAGAATGCTGCAGGGACCGAGAAGGGTCAGTGTCTTGCTCTTCTCTTCCATGGCAGTTTCAAACCTTTCTCCTGTTGCCTTCACTCAGCAAGATTGCCAGCGGGGAAGCTATTTGGGAATGTTTTAAAATGTTTTTCATTTCAGTATTTCCAGACAGAGACATGTACACTTCCTTTCCTGTGGTCTCCAACACTTCATTTTCTTACACCTGGCTTGGTCACTTGTTTGTCCTGTTTCCTTGATTTATCTGCTTGATTGCTGTAGACAGTTACAATGGTAACTATTTTTGCAATTTCTACATTAGGGTCCTCTTCCGTATAAACGCTCTTGTTTGGTTTTACTCATGCTGTTTGTTGTCTTTAAGGTTTTTAAGAGGCTATGTGAAGAGATTAGGTGACAGGCCATTATTTTTCAGTCCCAGAAACTGTTGATACATTTTGATATACCCAAGTTTTGACCTTTTCGTATAATGAAATCTATCGATCTTTTATAGTTTTTCAAATTTAAGTAAAAAAGTTAGGTTACAAATATTTTCTCTGCTGTTTCTTTTAAACATTTTTAAAGAAGTGTAACTAGTACATACATAGTTAAAAATTCGGCTGGGGCTAGAACGCTTATAATAAACACTAACAGCTCCTGTTCCCTCCTGCTCTGTCTCCCCAGCCCCAGCCCAGGTTCCCACGTACCAGAGGAACCACCTTTACCTTTTCTTCTGTTCTCTTATTGACCTCCATATTTCTAAATAATAACCTTTTACTGCTATTTTTCAGTTCATCAATTTAGATATTGTCTGTTGGCTTGATGTGATAGGCGAGGATTAATTTTTATTATCACTTACCCAAACATAAACCTTACTTTAATTTCTCTAATCTGTTAATATAGCTTTTGGTTAAGTTATCACTTAATTATTATGAACATGCAAAGACAACCAAGCTTAATCATGCCTTAAAATCATGCCTACTTTTTTATCTAATCTTTTATTTTTCCTGGGATTAATAATTGCTCTTCTTATTGCTTAATTTGCTCTGTATCTTTTTATTGTGGTAAAATACAACATAAGACTCACCATTTTAAAGTGTGCAGTTTACTGGCATTTAGTACCTTCACAAAGTTGTGTCACTGTCACCACTATCTAGTTCTAGACCATTTTTATCATCCGCAAAGGAAACCCCATTAAGCAGTTATTCCCATTTTCTCCTCCCTCCCCTGCTCCCCACTGTCCACAACCCCCACCCCACCCCCGCCCCACCCCCCACCCCTGTCCTGGCAACCATCGGTCTGCTTTCTGTCTCTATGAATTTGCCTATTCTGGATATTTCACATAAATAGAATCTCTATTACTAAGTATTTCCACATGCCTGTAGCATGCCTATTATCTCTGTAGCATGCCTATTAATATTTTCCAATTACTCATATCAGCTTGAGTTTTTTATTTTTCCTGCGATCAACTCTCCAAGTGCCCTTTGTCCCATTGATTCAGTTGTACTGGTTGCTCTTTAGGGCTATTGCACAAGTGTCATCCATGGACTTCTCTTTGCTGCTCTTCTGCGTTAGAGTGTCTTGTTTCCTGGATCCTATGTTTTCCTCTTTATTGCTTTATACTCTTCTTTTGCTAGAGCATATCCTGCAGAAACTTCCTGAGAATGGTTGTTTTGGAGGTAATTTTTGAAAAGTCTAAAGGAAAGGTTTTATCTCCACATCGAATGGAAAATTGGATATAAGATTCTGGGTTAAAATGTGCTCTGTTTTGTTTGCATTGGAAGGACCCACAGATGTTTTATGCTAGTGACATTTTGGTCTTTAATCCATTTGGACTTTGTTATGATTTGATCTTAATTGATTACCCTTCAGATATTTAAGAATTCTCCCCACTCCAAATATGACAAATGAGTTTTCCTTTCCCCACTCACATGTCATAACACACTGCATTCTTACGGGTACGAGGATCAGTTTTTAGATTGTGTATTCTGATTCAGTGATTGGCGTGTGTGTACATGTAGACACGTGTATTGGACTGATTTAGTTTTTATGGCCTTTTAAATTTCCTTTATTAAATTTAAGTTGTTTTAGAGTCCTATACACATTATCCATGTGACCTTCGGAAAGTAACATAACCTCTTTGAATTTCATTTTTTTTATCTGTAAGGTGAAGCTATCAGTTCGGCTTTGTTGTAAGCTGAAGAAACCAATTCTGCCTTTAGCAAAAATTGGAAAGCATGCTGGACAGACTCATTTTGCTCCTCCAGATCCATTCTCCAACATCCTCTCTCCTGCCATGTGTCCTTTGGGGCTGACCGCTATAGACCGTTTCACCTGTGCTTTCTTTGTGTTCCGGCTTTTGATTGATTGGCCAGTGATAGAACATGAGAGTAGACAGAGGTCAAGGTATTATTGGTAGTTATTGTCAGCCAGCCCTTGGTAGTTGTTGTCTGTGGTTTTAGTCCTTTTCCTATGACCACAGACCTTGTCAGGTGTCTCCTCTGCTGTGGCTACACAGGATTCTACCAACACCATTCTGTTTTCTTCAGTCAGCAAGTGCAAATGGCGTTTTACTTTCCGGGTTCATCACCTTCCCTCTTGATTTCTTGCGTCCAGGAGTCTAGCTAGTTAAGAGGTAATAAATACCTTGTCACGCTACCACTGCTGGAATGAGTGAACTTCAATCATTTTTAGGCTTTTTGTTTCTTTACTCAAAATTTGAAACAGCAGGCAATTGGCCTAGCATGGATCATTTAACCTGTGATATGATTTACCTGTCCCTTGGCTGGGGGCGAGCAGGACACCTGAAGTAATAGTCCTAATGCTGAAATCAAGGGCAGAGAATTCCATTGGTTAGGAAATTGGAGCAATGTTATCATAAGAAAGAAATATGGATGCTGGTCAGCTAAAATAATGCATTTCCACTACATAGAATAATATCCGTCTCACAAAATTGTAAAGATTACAGAGAAAAATTATAAAAAAAACAGTGCTTGGCTCAATAAATATTGTCTATTATTATTATGGTGTTTTCCATATTTTTCTAAATAAAATTTAGAAGCACTTTTCAGGTTTTTGAAGAAGAAATTTCCTTAGGATTTTAATTGGAATCACATTAAATTTATAAATAGGAAAGAATTAATTTATAGTACTCAGATTTTAAACATTTAGTTTTATGATATGTATGTCGATTTGTTGACATATTTCCTTGCAAAATTCTGTAGCTTATTTCATGCAGTGTCTTAAGTTTATTTCTATATATTTTATGATTTTAAAAGTAATTGTAAATGAGATTTTTTTTTTCTCTCTGTATGTGTAAGTTATTGCAGAAGCCATTTTTTCCAAGGTAGGTTAGGTTTGAAAATAGAAACATGGATCTTATAATTCTTCAGCGTTTGTTATTTGCTGGTTAGTGGTCTTTTTGGCCTGGCAATTTCAGAGTTCTAGAAATCTGACCAGGATTCTGTTATCAAATTATGTTTACGGTGCTGACCTCTAGGTGGCACTGTTGGTTAGAGCAAATTCCACAGTTTGGCAGGGAAGTGAGTTGTGTTGACTCTGGTATCCAGGTCACCCTGGAAAAGGTTTTCTAGTCAGCAGACAGATGTGCTAAACTCTATGCCCCACTTTTATGAGCTGCGTTACATTCCAGCACCGTTGGTACCTGCCTTCCCTGTCTCACGTGTGATAACTACGCAGATCACATGAGCTTCAGTTGATTACTCTTCTTGGGTAAAACATAAGCCCCAAAATATCAAAGAGAAAAAATGTTTGGCTATAATTGCAGATTAGTGTCTTTTCTT